GTTGTATTTCAATGTACTATAGTGCATTTTGTAGAAGATTTCATTGTCTATACAGGATGTGCTAAAAATTGCTCTAGGTCAAAGGAATTTGTGGTCATAACAATCGTTTTATTGGAAAAATTAGCTTGTTTTTTTTTAAGGGTACTTGGTTTAACTTTTTTCGGCAACGAAAAATTTATTTAAAACTTAAACAATATCAGGTTTTGTTGAGTGTTTTGAGCTTGTTCCAATGATGTATAATTTAAGACAATGAAATGCATGATAAAATTAAAAAAACAAGAAATACGCAATTCTTCAGCTTTAGAAGAAAATTTATTGGAACTTTTTTCAAAAAGATTTCTTTCTCAACAAGCAAAAGTTTCCCAAGGCTAAAAGCTTGGATTTGTAGGTAACTTTGGATGGGGAATCTGAAAATTGTATTTAAAAAACTATTCATTTTTCGCAGGTTTGATCGATACAATTTCTCTTTAGTACACGTTTAGCATTTTCATCACACTTGAAATTCTTTAAGTATGTTTTTATTCCTTCAATTAGTTTTAATTCAAAACGGTGTAAAAACGGTACGTTTATGGTGACCGTTTAAGTGCCGTTATTAGGTCGTTTTTATAACGTACCTTACGCTTTTAAACCGTAAATTAACGGTGTAAAAACGGTACATTGACGCTGATCGTAAACGGCGTGTTTTTATACCGTTAACGGGCCGTTTTTATGATGGCCGTTAATGGGCCGTTTACACGCCGTTAACGGACCGTTCTGTTTGGCCTGGGTTGCGTCGTCCCTAAATCTCAAACGAGAGTTTTCTTCTTTTTTCCACTCTATTAAAGTACTATGTCTCTATTTCAGCAAATTTAACCGTCATTCTTGTGCTCTCTATCTTTTAGTCTCGTCGTTATTCGGTAGAAGATGTTTGTGTAGACGATCACGGTGGTGTTTTAGTCTTTTGGTCATCTACATGGTTGAATAACACAAACATTGGTTTCAATGATGACAATATACTGATGGCACGATATGATGATCAGGCTACTCAATGGTATCAAGTGGAAACAATTATTGATACACACGAACCTGAAATTTCTCGTGTTCAATGGCAATCCACATATGTTCATTATGATCAATTGAGTGATGATTTGAAAGTTCAGGTCTATGAATTTATCTCCCGCGGTGCAATAAACTCTTGTTTAGATGTTCCGGAAACTGTTTTAGATCTTCTGTAAAAAAGAAGAAAAGTTTCGTTAACTCCGGTTTGTGTATTCTTGTAATAAGTTAAAGAACTATAATTAAGAAAAGAACATGTTTTTTTGTACACTGTGATTATATTGTTATTTTGTAGAAATTTTCTTTGTTAAACAGTGCTATTTTCTTATAGCTGTCAGATAAACTCTTATTCTTCGTTGCAAGTCTGTCGCTAAACTTCTAGTTCGCTAAAACACGAAAGAAATTGGCTTTTCTCTGATTTTAGACATAAAACATGGCATTCAGTTTGAGACTAAATGTTCACATGTCTTCAACAGCTCATCAGGAAAATTTCGCCTAGAGCGAGTGTCTACGGGCGGAAATAGGAATACCAGACACCCGAGAAATTGATAAATCATATGTGCACCTTTGAACGCATTGGGACAAACCCAGTTCATGTGCATCATGCCTTTACATACCGGTTGATCTGGCGACCTAGTAATATCAAGTCTCGACTAGCTGTGACTCAGACTCGAGACTCAAACGGGATTTATACCTTAACCTACCTCCGATCTAGTCCAGTTTCGAAGAGTATCATTTCGAATGGCACCGTAACATCCACCTGATGAGACCCTTAAGCAAGGTCGAAAGCGCTCCTGGTAGCTTAAGTAGCGAATAACTCTAACAACAACCAAGTTGTAGCGAGAAGTCTAAGTATCTAAACGTGATAAAACCAAACAGCGCAATTATATTGTATAATGAAGATCTTCACGGAAAAAACTAGATAGAGCTGCAAAATTAGGTCTATATCCTAAACTAAACAAAGTGCCAATTCACTATATGTAGTATATTTAAAATAATGATTAAAAAAACATGTACAAGAATTACAAGAAGTAAGGAGACCACTAACTGGTCCGTCGACTTACTAACTCTGTATTCTAAAAACAGTCTAACACACAGTAAAAAATGTATGATTTCTTGTATATATATATATATCCAAAAGAACAAAGACATGTGACATAAAGAAAAAACTAGAAAGAGATAGTTAAGGATGATGCAATATATAGACCTAGAATAATAGTGATCACAACTGGACGAGAAAAAAACAATAGATGAACGAAATAAAATAGACGAAATAGAAAAAAGAAAATAGGGAGACGAAAAGTAAACTACAGTCAGTATGATACTAAAAGATCACGCGTACACACACGTGAAGAGAGGTAAGACAAAAAATAGAAAACTAAATACTAAAGAAAACGAAAGGACTAGAGCCTTAAGTGCACCCGACTTAACACAAACTTTCTCAAGTTTTGTTTCATAATCGTTATGAACCGTGCTTGTGTGGATTAGAAGGGTCCTTCTGTTTACATCAGACAAGTTTTTCTATTTCCACTACTACTCATTTCAAACGAGTAAGAAATAGAAATTTCAGTTACCGTCTTTCATTCCGTTAACAGGAAGCAGAAAGAAAAAAGTGTTTTATTTTAATTTTTATTGAAAAGGCCAAAGGGCTTCTTCGCTTTCCGCCAGAAACAGGGTCATCCACATATAGGATGATACTCATACTGTTCTGAAATACCTGTGTACTTGTTACGTGCATCATGTTCCGAAGAGTAAGCCGGTAAAACATGGCGCACTTAAGTGCCAGACTGGATGCTGAAAAAGTATCCTTCCTCCCTGAAATGCAAATATCTGATATTTTAGTTGATATCGTGAGTTGTGCATCTATAGTACTATCAAAAATTATAAGATCACCGGATTTGTTGAAGTTTTTGACTTTCTGGCATGTTCTGAACTGCATCCTCGAACAAGCTTCAACATGAAATATACAGAACTGAAATTCTTCTTTCAGAGTATGCCGTCAAAATTCGCTAAAACTGCTTTACTTTCATTTTAAAAAAAATTGTATTAAAAAACAGCGACTTTTTCGCGTGAAAAATTAAAAGATTATTAAATGTTTTGGTTAGTGTTCTTAGCCAAAACGGTCACTTATGTTTCAAATAATGTACAAGCACAAGACCATAAAAATATTCATTTGGACATTAAATGGCGAATGTTGAATGGATCTTTGTGTTTGTTAGGATTTAACAAATTTCCCAGCTATCAGTAAAACCACCTACAGATCTGTGCTTTGTGCCTAGAGACCTTAAAAATCAATCTAGCAGCAAGCAAAGTCGCTTTCGAACTATCCTAGTAACTAAAACAATTACCGTACGAGTTTAAAGAAAAGAAAAATAGCGAATGCATTTAAAATCGCGCCGCGACATCGGGATTCAAGCCGTGATAAATAGCGAGTCGCACTGACTCTCGTAGTGTAAGCAAGAGTCGCACGACAATACCAGTGTACGTAGTTCTATGCAAGATCACATCGCGACAATAGCAAATATACATCCCAGTCAAAAGTATACCGCGACCAAATAGCGATCGCTAAAATCGCATCTTATTTCGCGAGTCTTATAGCGATCGCGAAAGTTGACTTGGGTTCGATTAAAGATGAACAGGAAAAAACTTCGACACCTGTTAACACAGTGTCCGAATATGCGATCAATGAGAATAGATAACAAAGTTTTGGTTGAACTGATAAGTTATTCTACTGAATCATTCTAATAAACAAATCAACATTTGATTCTGAGCAATAGTGTATGTGACGCAACAAAGAAATTCATTCAGTTTTGTCGTTTATTCTTTTACATCGAACATCTAGAATCGATTGAAGTTAAACCAATTTCTGACGATCCTGTGCTAATACTTGACAAAATAAAGACTTTAAACTTCCTGGCCGTTACATGTAATTGCTTCCAATTATATTCTATATACACACGGATGGACGTTTTTTCGTAAGAATAGAAGCATTGAGGGGTATCGCTAAACATAGCATACAAAACACATAGCATAACGCACATTACTACTACAGATAAAGGAATAGTCCAACCACAACAAGGATTAGCGATAGATCTAACGTTAGAAAGTTGTCAAGGCGTGACTAGTCCAGTGGTTCGAAGGAGCGGCCACGATACCAGTATAAGTAAGAAAAGAACAGGTGTAGCGACCAGAGAAGGTACAGTAGGATGTACACACTTAACGGTAGGCATCGGAGAAACCAGATCAAGCATACGAATAAATTATGAGAGTGAAGAAGACAAGATAGCATTTCAAAATAGTATAGAGACAGCACGATTAGAAAAAGACCCTACACAAAGCACTCTTCGTACATAAAAAGAATAAGCAGGGAGAAGATTACGAGTATGAGCAGCCAGGTGTAATAGCAAAAAGTAAAAAGTAGCATATGAGAATAGGGGAATTAGTCCAACAAAACGACAAACCTTAATAACAGAAGAGCAGAATGAAGAAGCAATAGAACTTCACATCCTGCTTTTTAACGAAGATTGGGGGAAAAGTTCATTTAGTATGTGACAATACAATTTTTATCAAACCTTCAAAACTTACAGTCTGTTGAAATAAAGAGAGTAGAACACGGTGACACATTTCTGATTAGAAAAACTGGAATCGGGCCTTATTTTGAACTGTTTTGGTGATGCGTTCTTCACAACAACTTCCAACAGCTGTGACTTTACAGCATGAGTCCATATTTAATACTGTGGTTAGACAGCCATTGTTGAATGTCGCCGGTTTTCCAAGATCGCTTGGGCACCACAGATTCTGGTGTCGGTACGTCGTGCCATGTCGCTTTATCCAGCACTATGGCACAACGAACTTCATCTCCTACATAGCAAACGAAAGGAAAAGATCATTGAAGTGTCATTTTCAAGACATTTTAGTGCTCACCAAGTTCACTTCTCAGTTTCGTGCATGTTAATTTCATCCATTCCAGAAATCTCTCGCTCGTCATGTTGTGTTCTTCTGAACAGAACCATACAACAAAATGTCTTCTCAGTGCATTTTCATGATCCAAAAATGATGTGCAAATGCAGTTGTATGAATCTGCTTCAAAGCTGTTCACATGTGAGTATCTGACCTCTTTCGACCTAAAATATGAAACACTTCTTGTTTCGTAGGTACAGACTGTCAAAATCTTCCTTGGTATACCAGTTTCAGAGAAAGAGAACGTAAACGAAAACGAGCTGAAGACCAAGAAGGGCCAAGTAGAGATAAAGGACCAAATTGAGGTAAATATAGTTTTTATTATTGAGCTTTTCTATTTTAAACGAAACATAAATTGTGACAATTTTTCTAACACAAATCTTAATTGGATAAAAATCGGGTGCTACGTGCAGAATTTTTCGGCGGATCCGACAGCTGGTTCCTTATAATTATACTTTGACTTCTTTTCTGGCGTCGACATAATCTACGTGATTTTTGACTAAATTTTAGTTTTCTCATTGGCGCCTTTTTTTCAACCAATGAGAAACGTAAAATTTAGGCAAAAAACACGTAGATTATGTCGACGCCAGAAAAGAAGTCAAAGTATAATTATAAGGAACCCGCTGTGGGATTAACCGAAAAATTCTGCACCTAGCGTCCGATTTTTATCTAATTTGGTGCAGCGCGGCAAAAGTACCAAATTTTCTAGCGCAAGCGTGGAAAATATTATTTTCCAGCTTAAGTTTTACAAGAAGCATTTGTCTATGTTCATAAGTAAAAAAAGTAGAAAATAGCTGCTATTAAACCTATATAATCTGAACTACTGTTCAAAGAGAACGAGCAAAATAGAAATCCTTAGTGTGTACGCAAAAGGTAATAGTTCGAAAAGAGAAAAAAAATTTCCAACTTGATCTTAATAAAAATGAACTATACAGTACTCTATTTGTCATGCACTTTATTAATTTTTGTCTTAAATTAAACATGTAAGTATTCTTTAATCAAGCTCATCGAAGTAGGATGAGTTCGTTCCTCATTTTTTCAATGAATTTTATCTAAAAATCTAGCTGCATAAAAGTCTATTTTCTATGAGCTCTTTTTTTAAGATAATACTTAAAAAATGGACGATATTGTTTACGACCAATCAATTCAAAATTTTGGTGAGATTGTTTTCTTCCTCAGGTAAATATTAGAGTAATCGTTTCTTATTTTCTTATCTCAG